ATAAGAAGAAAATGAGACTTTCTGATTCAGTCTTGGTTATGTGTATTCAAAATAAAACTTTGCATATGTATGCTCTTTTATTTTTTCCAGGTACAACTGTGCCAGCATTATTGAATAGCACCTCCAATCAGCTTTATCTGCATTTTCATTCTGACATTAGTGTGGCAGCAGCTGGTTTTCACCTGGAATATAAAAGTAAGACTGCTTGCTCTTTAAATCTTTCTCAGAAAAAAAAACATATGAATGGAAAAGGAAAGAGAAAGATCATGTTTTTAACCTCTCTAACCAAGATCTAATCATCACAACTCTGATACAAATGACATCTACTATACAGAAGTTTTAAATAAATGGACATTTGACATGTGTGAAAATCAAATTTCACAAATTAGAAACATAAACCAAATCAATCTGGTAATTCAGAATAATATTTTAGCAATGTTTAACAATGTTTTTAAAGCATATTTAATTTTCTTTCAATTTATTTCAACTTTGAACTGCAATTTAAATAATTAAAAATATAAGGACTATTTTTACAGTTGGAAAGGCATAAAAGCAGAACAGATGATAACCTTTCTTTTTACCTATTCTGTCATGCATATACTTATTCTTCCTATCTTTCTTTCTTTCCCATCTTCCCACCTTTCTTCCCATCAAAATCTTTCCTTCACCAAACTGCTGTAATTAGAAGAAACGGCATAATAACCCCAGAGTTAAAAGAAAAACTACAGTTTTCTTGGTAATTCACTGATTGTATGAGCAGAAGAACTTAAGACAGTTAATGACAAATTCTTCAGTATATATTTTTTTCATATGTTTATGCTTTTGTGAGAAATTTAGTTCAAAACTACAAATATTCAAAGAAAACTTCAGTGGATGACCTCACATAATCATGTTTATTTCAAGCCTCTCTCAAAAATGTTAATGCAATATAATAATAGCAAATTCAGCACATATTGTTATGGTATTCCTTTTAACTGGAAGTAGTTACAATAAGAATATTCTAATCTTTTAAAACAAATGTGAAGATGAGTTAATATTGTGATGAGCTAACACTGTGATGAAGGTCACAAAGTAAATTCTTCTTAGTTTTCAAATATAATGTCTGTTTTCTTACAAAATGGAATTTAAGAATTTGCTTAAAAAGGGGGTTTTGGTATATATTACGTTAATGTCTTCATGACTTCAAGTATTATGTTATTAGACATCTTTATAAGAAGTCAACGTGAATTAGCAAATGTGGATGGTCTTTAATAATCATTATTTAGAATTAAGATTAAAAACTATGTAAAATATAAAATGTATTTTTTCATTCTAATGATGATGTAGAAAAAGAAGAAGAATGTTATTTATGCAGAAAGTGTTTCAGAATCTGCTATTTTTGATAGGAAAGATATTTACATTTTTTGAGTAAAAATGAGCACAGTCTTGTGAAATTAATTGATTTAATCATGTTACACTGCACTTCCTTCCCTCTGACAACTGTGTTACTTATGATACCTCCTTTTAACATTTCCTTCACAAGATAGAATATACATTCAGCTGAAACTAAGTCACTAGAGCAGATACAATGGTTGATTCAGGCATATATAAATCAGATAATGGTGCAGTGACCATACTCTAAAGTGCTAGAATCCAGTATTTAAAGTTAAGGCACTCCATCACTAACAGAATTAAACACCTTAAAAGGACAATCTTAAAATCATTGGTGCTTAGCTGAAACTGAGTTGGTAGCTAGATAATTCAGAACATACAGAGATATTTGAACTTAGACCCTGCTCTTTAGTTTATGAGGTCAGGCATGCAAAAATGGCTTACTTTTTATCCTGGTTGTGTCTTTGGAGACACAAGTTATTTTATATTCATTTATAAATATTTGAGTAATTTTGATTATTTTTATTTCAAAAGCACGTTGTCAGTGGTAGCTTAATGGTTAGAGCACTGTTTTCTGGAGATCCAGGTTGAGGTCTCATGTTGAATTAAACAGGAAGAGATTCAATCTCCCATCTTCTAAATCTAAGAAGCGTATTTTGATCATCAGGCTGTATGTTAGGTAGGGTCGGGGTGTCCATCAACTATTTTTGAAATTGAGGTACAGTGATGTACAGTAACCTGAGGCGGAGGTTAGAAGGAGAGAAAATAATCAAAACAATGAAACCAGAGCCTTGCAGCACATTTGAGGATATGGGGAGAAATCCTAGCTTGCAGTGTCTCTGTCAGGCTTATGTGATTTTTTTTCTGTATCTTAAATTTCTGGTATGCTGCAATAACTCTAAGAGGTCTGTCATTTGAAGAGAAAATCAAAAATTATTGTTTGTTTTTAATTATGTAGCTTTTATTTCACTCTTTTTCCGTATTTTATATGGATATTTTGGGTCAAGACAAAGTTATTTTTGTTGTATCTGTATCCTTAGAATTGCTCTGGATTTCGTGTGGTCATCTATGAAATATTTATCTGTTTCATAGAAAAGTAAGAAAATAAGTATTTCAATATTTCAATTTAAACTGCAAAAATGCATTTTAGACATTTCTATAAATACTTTTATGACAATATTAGAGCATCCAGTCCAATCTCCTAGTGAAGACAGGAACAGCTGTGAGGTCACACCAGCTTTATCTGGTATGGTCTTGAAAATCCCCAAGGATGGAGACTGTAAAATTATGCTGGGCAACTTGCTCCACCCTTGACTGTCCTCACAGTGAAAACTTTTTCCTTATGCCCTGGCTGAATCTCCCTTATTTCAACTTATCTCTGTTGTCTCTTGTCCTCCCATTATGGATGGTTCCGCCTTGATGATTTCCCCCAAAGCTCTCGCTTCTCCAGGCTGAACGAGCCGAATTCCCACAGACTCTCCTCACAGAGCACGTGTTCCAGCTCCTAGACATCTTGGTGTCCATCCAAAGAACTCACCTGTTTATTTTCATCCTTATACCTGTGTGGGAACAAAAAAATGGACACTATTTTCTGCATGTAATACAACACCTACTCAATAGAGGGGGCTAATGCTTTGCCTTATCTATTGCCTCTGCTGCAAGGGTCACACTGCTGGCTCATGCTCAGCTTGCGGCCTAACAAAAACCTCCAGGACCTGCTCAGCAGAGCAGCTCCCCAGCCAGTCAGTCCCCAGCCTGCATAGTTGCAAGGGGTTATTTTGTCCCAGATGCAAGACTCTGTCCTTCTGGTCAGCCCTCTCCCGTCATGCCCTGGAATATGCTCATTTCTCTGCCTCCTCCCACCTCAATTTGAGGCTGTCTCTAGACTCGGTAAGGGTGCAATCCGGGGCCTCCTCACTGATGGACGTGTCTCAGGACAGGCCACCACAGTCCTCCAGACAGAGCTGGCTGTTCTCCTGCGGGTGACAGCCTAAGCAGCCGTAGCTGTAGACTGATGCAACCTAGTTGTGTAGCTTGGGCTGCTCCTGGGTTAAGCATATATTGGTTATGTAAACCATGCTCACCACGTAATATAATAAACAGGTTAATAGATGGTGAAAGAGTCTTCTAACATTAATTCGCATGTTAGGGTTAAATTGATGATTTAGACTTTTTTTTTTTTTTTTTTTACAGAATTCAGATATATGAACTCAGTCAAATTAGGAGAAATAACAGATCAGTGTCTTCGTTTTCTTTCCTCTTTTTTTTCTGTTCATAACATAGATATAAGTATTTTAGGGAAACACTGTGTGACACTGTTTCTTGTTTTTTTTTTTCTTTTTTTTTCTTTTCTCGTGCTGTAGGTGTTAAACTGGCTTCAGTAACCTCCTGTCAAAAACAAATTTATAAAAAATACATAACAGTTTAACAGTAGGAAAGACAGGATTTAATCATTTAAACTGACCTTTCACATGCATATTTTTTTCCCAAAACTGTGGTAAGATAAATAACAACTAATTTCCCAGCCACCACCAATCAAAACATACTGTGCTGCATTTCTGTTGGTAGGAGGAATAAACGTTCCTAAAATCTGACTGGATTGCTTTTAATCATAATGAACAAAAGGAACAGCTATTTGAACACTATGAGTTAGAAACCTGTCTAATTAATTCAATTTTATTTGTGGCACTGAAGTTGCAAGTTTAATTTTTAAATCTCATTAATAGCAGTTTCAATATTTTCTTTCATATAAAAACAAATACACAAAAGGATCGATGCCTGGAAACAACAAGTGTTACTCATACAGTCAGCCTTCTTTTAGTAACAAGTGAATCTGTAATGAATTTAGAGACAGATATGTTTGGGCCATGAAGATCTGCAAGTATGAGTATATCCAAACATAGTTCTTTTAAAAATCAACATTTTAAAAGCCACCAAGTCTTATTATCTTTAAAATATATAGCACAATTCAGTGCCATTCATTTAGAAAGTCTTAATTTTGCAGTTATACCAAAGCAATGTAATATGCTTGAGAACATAAACTAAATTGCAATTGGTATCTCTTTTTCCGAAGCTTCTTTCACATGTTTTCAAGTGCCAACGGTTCTCATGAGCTGAAATAATAGATTTGCTGGTAAGAGGCCTAGAGAATAGCGAATATTTTTTGTAGTAATTCTCTATCACTATGTGCTAAAATAAAAAATAAAAACCAGCCAGCACATCAGAGAAGAAGGAGCATACTTTTCTAATTAATACATTTTCTTTTGTAGGTCCAGATTAAGATATTTTGTATGAGAATGCCTTTAGTGCTGATCTGTGCAGTAGCCATCTCCTTTTTTCCTTTGTTAAAGCACGTATGAATCAAGAATGTGTCATTTTTAATTTAGTAGATCCTATTCTTGTCACTAAATCGATGCAACTTTCTATCTCTTGACATTAATCTGAACCCTTTTTCAATAATCTATTAAGGTAAATTCATTTTCTAGTATGGGTTCTGAAGAATTCAGTCTTGGAAGAGTCATCTGGGATTTTGATATACACCATCATCAAAATAGAATAATTCACTCCAGTTTAACATTCGTATTATAATAAAGAGCAGTATGTTTGAGCCAGCCACACAGGGATGAGAGGGATGAAGTCAAAAAGGAGATACAGATGACTTTTGGTCAAGCTGTCAGAAAATTATTGTATGCTCATTTTGCAGCTTTCCGAATGGACATTAATGGGCATTCACACTGTCAGATATGCCAGCAAAAATTTTCTTTCAGCTGGCAATGGCAGTGATGTCTGACAGAATGCGAGTTTGCTGTACCGAATTTTGCTGTACCGAATAAATAGTGCATTGCTGATAAAGTAAGCATGTGTATAATTATAGAAGTGAGGCATGTTTGTCTTATGCCAGAGTGGAGGCCTAGAAAGTATTTATCAGGCTGTAAGTGGAGGAAGGTCAGGAAGAGAGTTATCATTCTTGACATTGATGTGTTCTCTGTTGTACTGCAGAGCAGCCGCTGAGCTCTCAAGAGTGTGCACTAAGCAAACCCTGTCCTTTTCTGATTGCTTGGGCTTGACATTTAACATGTTTTCCTTTATTACTGATGGTAACAAACAATCTGATTTAGTGTATTTCAAAGCTGGTGGATCTCTAAGTTCTTTAGTTTATCCCCAGACACTGGAATTAAAATTGCATTCTTAAGATATTTGTACCAATTCTAACTAACTAAAATGTTTTAAAATTGTCAAATTTCACACAAAACTTTCATGACTTACGTGAATAATCAGTGTCTATTGGTTTTTGGATCTTTGATCTTTTTTCCTGAACTCCATGATAAATTAAAATTTAATGGCAAATTTTTTTTTTTTTTGCTGTACCGAATAAATAGTGCATTGCTGATAAAGTAAAATCTCACTTTGAGATATATTTATTTGTTCATTAATTCAAAAGCAAATGTTGAAAGTTAGTATAATTTAGTGATTAGAATGAAGGGGTTGATGACTATCTCCAAATTTCTCCTCGCATTTGGAGAAGTAATAGTGTTTCTTACTACTATGTATATCCAATAAAGACAGTTATGAGAAATTGCAAATTGTTTGCAAATTATTGCAAATTGTTTGGTGATATTCTTATGGAATATTCTAAATTAGCAAACAAAGCGAGAAGTGGAAATAATACAAAGCATAAGCAACTGGTAGAAAGAAAAGGTTTCTACTAAGTTATTAGGATATGCTAAAGATAAAATACATTGTGTAATACTGTAACCAACAGTTGCACATAAAATGACTTGGCAGGTTTATTTTTGATCATAGTGTTTTTAGATTCTCTACACTATTTAACTAGTGATAGAAAGAACTATGATTTTACAACCACAGTATTAGTATTGTCCTGCAGTCACTGTTCTATTTCTATGACTCAGTAAAAGCTGTAAGTCTTTTATTGATACAAATTTGAGACTGCCTGTCTGTAATCCTGAACACTAAAGAATGCTAAGTTCAACAAAATACATAAACTATTTATTTCAATACAAAAAGAAGCTAGACTAGAGAAATCCTGTAGTGTGCAACTATTAAATTGTTCTGTGTATCTTAATAAAAATGTTTGGTTTATTAGCTCTTGTAGTAGTTGTTTGGAGGCTTACCTTCAAATTGCTTGGTACCTCTGTCAGTGTTACAACGGATTGCTATTACTACTGTTTGTTCCTGAAAGAAATGAAATGTAGTAAGAATTAAGAGCACAGGAGGCAGAAAATGCAGGATTATAGAGCAAATTTTGAGGAAACAAAAAAATGACTCAACAGTCACGTTTTCAGCTGAAAGTATAAATGCTATTTTAAATTTCTGTGTGCCTCATTGTGAAAAATGCGTTTACTTGAACTTATTCTTAAAGTACAGAAAGTGACTGAAAGCAGATGAAATGGGAAACATTTTTTTTCTGTGTACATTTAATACTAGTAAGTAATTTTTATATCAGAGTGATGAAAAGACAAACATAGATTATTAGGAAAAAGTTAAAATCTTGTCTGTATCAAAATCTGTAAACAACATTATTTCAAAGAAAAATATATTTCCATAGAAAGAGTAGGATGTAGCGTCTCAATGGAGAACATCAGCTACTGTTTCATGATAAACCATCTGGAACAACAGACTCTAAAATGTCAGATAAGAGAGTAAAGCCAAATATCATGTAATTTCTGAACTAAACAGCCTTTGTGGTCGCATTTACTGCCATTAGTGGGGTTTAGATATCATAAGAAAACAAGAGCTGAAACATCTCTTTTCTTCATACAAGTGAAGTAAAGTATATATAGTATTACAGCCAAGAAAACATGATTTTTTACTTTTTTTTTTGTTTCACAGAATGTTCAGCTAATAAGTTCTAAAAACTTCACACATTCCTGAAGTAATTTCCATTTTATTTAGATATTTACACCTTGTACTCTAATAAAAGCATAACAGATAGTTACATATCAAAGTTTCAATAGTAACATTCTGTAATTAGTAACATGCAGTTGGCAGTCTTCAGAAGCCGATAATTCAGATTGCCAAATTTAGAAGAATGTGTCTGAGGCTTGGATTACCAGTCATGAAGAGGCTTGGAAAAAGCTAACCTTCTGCTTGCTAATACCTATCTAAAAAAATTAAAGAATAGAGACTAGGGAATAGAAAAATTAAAGAATAGAGACTGTTCTGTCAAGTTTTTTACAAGGATTTAGTTGTAAATTGAAAGCACTAAGATTTGAGGCCTATGGATGCATTAGAGGTTTGAGCGTCTTTACAATAGCTATCTATTGGTTGAGATGGAATTGTCTAAACATAAGGAATACTCTCAGCCTCAAGCTGTTAGTGAAAAGGCTTCTACCACTTGAGCAGTAGATTTGTTCTTTTGTTGCTCAAAAGAGCGAAAATAAATAAAGTCTATTCTCTCTCTCTCTGTCTTTCCATATCATACACACAACAAAATCGAATTTATTAGAATTACAGAGCTGGTTGATGACTTATAAAGTGACAGAGCAAATGTTATAGCAACAAGACATGTTAATGAAAAAAAAAAAAAAGTGCTGTGGAAACAGTTTATTAGAGTAGAGAATATCAATGAAGACCTGTTGTCCACTCATCTATGCTTTTTCAATCTTTGTGTTTACTTTCCTCAGCTGTAGGCCTTGCTGCCTGTCCAGAACCTGTAATTCCTAGCAATGGGATCAAATCAGGAGATAGATATATGGTGAATGATGTGTTGTCATTTCAATGTGAGCCAGGATATACATTGCAGGTATTTCTTTCTTTCCTTTTTCTTTAAACTTTATATTGTGGAGTAATAGCAAAAAAAAAAAAAGCTGTCAATAAGCCACCCCAAATCCAATTGTAGAAGGAGTCTCAAGTGTGGATGTAGAGGTGATTTAAATAGAATCCATGTGAGTACGCCCGTATTATAGTGCTATGAATGTGTGTAGGACATATGGCCCTCATTAAATCTGGGCTGATATAACTTGTCTCAGAGTAACATACCACTGAGTAGTAATAAATATTAAAATGGGGAGGTAGGTGCCATGGTCACAATTTTTCTATTAAAAAATGATTTATGCTCATTGAACTTATGGTGTGTTTTCTCAGCTTTTGGAAATGGTTCCTCTAAGTGGAATTTTAACCACAGTGGTATTTTTTTCACTAATTATTGTAAGCCAGAGACCATTCCCAATAGATAATTTGCATGGTGACATCTTGTTTTGGAGATTCACTTGGAAAAACAAGAGAGAAAAAAAAAAGAAGATAAAGAAGGTGATTTTGGCCTATATGCTAGAGAACAGGCCCAAGCACTGCCACCAGTACAGATAGAGTCAAAATGGCCTTATCATCCTTTTTTGTATGCATTGAGCTAAGTTTATTATTATTAATCTCCACACACAGGATTAAGGGACATAAGATCAAAGGACAAGATCAAAGGACATACATAAAAGACAATGTGGAATCTATCTGAAAGTAAATGCATAATAAAAGAGATTATTCAACAATAAATAAAATCTGATTTGAAGAGTCATTGTACCAAGTCAGCTTGTTTGACAAAGATTTCCATTTTGAATATTTGTAGAAAAGTTATGTGGAGTTCTTTAGGTATTTTTATACCTAGGATCATGATCGCTTATTGATGCTAATAGGGCTGTCAGATAATTCCTGTTCATATAGCTGCCCATCGGTTTTTAGCACCTCATTGCTATGACCTGGGCCACTGCTTCTGTACCACTCAGACTGGAATGCATTTGAGCGAACACCTGATTATTGGGTAAGCCCAGTGGGCAGTGATTTGATAGAACAAAGTGAGATACTTACCTAATAATAATTGCTTTTTCTACATGTGGAATAGCATCTAATCCAACTCATTCCATCTAAAAGCTAGTCCTCTGATCTAAACTGGCTGTTTTGGCTCCCACTAAAGTCACTACAGAAAGACAGCGCTTCCAAAGGCTGATTGATAATAGGGACAGATACCTACTGTGAAAGTATTTGCCTTTCTTCCCTGATTAGAATGTATCAGAAGGTTAAAATATTTATCATCTAAACTGCATAAATGTGCCTAACTTTGAACTGCCTAAGTTTGGTGAGATTGTTCCTACTTGTATTGCCTGTAATATTGTGTGCTTTCCTTGCCTTTTCAGCTATGAAACATCTGAAATTCACATATAAAAAAATTAGGAGGTGATTCCATTTTTATGACATGAATTAGAAATAGGTAGACTCTCAAAATACAGATACAGTCTCAATTAATTGTTCTGGTCTGCACTCCAAACAGTATTGCTGAAACACTGAACCTGAATGTGATGGGGGTTTGATTGATAACAGTAGAATGTGAATACTTTAGTAGCTAGAATGTGTATAGGAAATCTTGAATCTTGGAATTCTTGAAAGATTCAAATTGATTGAAAGAATCTTGAAAGACACACATTTAAGTCAGCTCTCTCTTCATCTTTTAGAACTATTTTTTCTTAAATTCAAAAGAAACTGATCTGTGTTACTATTAAACTTTAATATGCTGTATATATCACTATCGCAGTATGTTTAACTGTGATACAGATACAAAGAGTAACCAATATGGCCATCTGAATACATGTATTAAATTACCTTTCACTTGTGACCACACTTATATTTAGTCTGAAAATTTGAAGAAGTCTTCAAATTATGAAAGAGGGTATTAGAAGATCTAATCGACAGAAAAAAAATAAGATCACAAAAGCGGAAGTATTTGAAAAGAGCGTTTAACAAATCCATTAAGATAATGATAATGATTAAGATAGATAGGAAAAGACAGATACAGTGATCTGGGAGGTTCTTGGCTCTGCCTTCCTGGTAACTCCCACAATAAGTACCAATTATCTAATATTTTGCTCTTTCCAAACAGGGCCGTTCTCATATTTCTTGTATGCCAGGGACGGTTCGACGCTGGAACTATCCATCTCCTCTCTGCATTGGTATGAATACTTACTTGCTTTCAGTGTACTGTTTTGAAGAGTAGTCAGAATAAACTTCTGGCTTTGTCAGGCCTGTTGCTCCTTCAGTTAATTTGGATTCATTCAAAACTTATCTGAATTTCCATATGCATCTGTGAAACATCAAAGACTTAAAATATTTGTTATTGAACATATAAGGGATGTGCTGTTAAAAAAAAAAAGAGTGAGAGGTAGAGGAGGAGGCATAGATGTTTACTTTGATGTTTATTTTGTCCTGAATATGTAAAACAGGCTGAATATTCTTCAGAAGGGAAGAATATTCTTCAGAGGAATGTGACAGCCTCCTTTTGCAGCAGGTTGGGTTTGGAGGAAGTGCTGGAGTACAAGGCAGTTTAGGAGACTTCTCAAAAAGCCTGCAAGGGAGAGCAGATCTGAAGCCAGGCCTTCAGGGACAGTGAAATAATATATTTATCTGGGGATCCAAAAGATGCTCATGCTTTTCATCTGAGAAGGATATTAAAGGTGCTGAACTGAAAAGCAAAACTAAAAAGAATTCACTCTGTTAAAGCATGCAAAGATCTTATCCAAAGATCTGAGTTTTTCCAGTGTAGATAATAATCTTGTTCTAATGTATTGTTTCTTCATTAAAGAGAGATTTAGAAAGTCAAGCTTTAGATTTAGATCTTTTCACAAGCTTATTTCAGGGAAAAGAAGGAGGAGAAAAAGAAGGGAAAGGAAGGACAGCCCCATCATACAGTCTTGTCACTTCAGTTTTGAAACGCACTCTTTAGTGAAAGTTGTCTTTTTGACTTCATACGTAACAGGACTTTAAAAGTTTAGAATGGTATCCAGCAGTATTATGAAATGAGCTTGAAAGATTCCTTGGCATAGTTAGGCCCATATATATATGTATATATATATATATTTTATATATATATATATATTTAACTTTCCCGCAAGCAGTCACTTCTATTTAACATGAGGGCAGGACAGTTCTTTTTTTTTTTTTCTTTTTAGCTCATGGAATTACACAGTCCTGAATGTAAAAATATACCCAAGAAGACCATCACCACCCCAATTAAAAATACTGTTTTTTTTTCTAGAAATTCAAACAGAAATCTGTTATTTTCACTAGATAGTGTATCTAAGAGGAATCTAGAAACTTCTGAAAAGCAGAGATATCTGAGATGTTTGAGATCTCTCAGATTTCTACTGCGATTTTCCTCCTTTTGATTAAATTTCACATGAGGTCTAACCAATAGATTATCACAGTTCTTTGTTAAAGACACAATGTCTTTATTGTGATAAATTTCACTGAGGGATATCAAGGAGTATTAGATTGAACTAGTAATATACTACATAATAAGAATTACCATGGTCAAAGACCCTTTTTCTTTTTCTTTTGAATAGCGAAATGCGGTGGAACACTGACAAACATGGGTGGTGTGATCCTGAGCCCCGGGTTTCCTGGAAATTACCCTAGTAACTTAGATTGTACGTGGAAAATTTTATTGCCTATTGGATATGGTAAGTAAGCTTAAGTTTGTAGAGCAAATATTTTTAATTTTCAGATATAAACACATAAGAATGTTATAGTTCCTAGTATGATGAAGGGTTTTATGCAGTGAAATGTACCTTTCACCCCTTAGATCATTATGTTCTGTCTTTTGAGTTGAAAATGGTTGGTAATTTTAAAATATGTGTTTGGCAAAGCACTTACTTGTAAAGCCTTACTTGTAAAACTCAACCTGACTCAGAAATTGCATCCAAAGTAATTGAATTCTGCTACATGAAGATGTATCAGATAAAATGTAATGTAACTCCTAATTTAATTAATGTCCTCTATTTAATATCCTTTCATGGTCCCCCTAGTGAATTTTTAACACTATTCTTTATTTTCTATGAAAATAGGTAATACCTCATTTCTAGCACTGTGAGTTCAGTTAAAAACATTTTAAAACTTCATTCCAAGTCCCAAATAACAGCTGACAACTTAGATATTTTTTTAAAGTCTGAATTACAGCTATTGCCCTACAGAAAATAACTTTAGAAAATTAATAATAATTATATTGAGAATGTAATAATAAGTGATCTACAATGCCATATACAAGAAGCTATCTTGTATCATTAACAGAAATAAAATGGAAATGAGATTTCTTGCTCTGAAAAATTGTACTATGTATTGTGAATTCAATGTTAGTGCTCAAATAAGAAAATTAGTTTTAAAAGCTTATTGTTCAATTCACTATCCTCCTCTCCAGAACTGATTTTTTTTCTGTGCCTTCCATTTGCCTTCATAGAAGGGGTTTATGGAATACGATTTAATACTTTCAACAAATATGTTATACTAAGTTAATCTTAGGAAGTTCTGTTCCATACCATGCTACTCTTTAGAATTCTGAAGAGTAGCTGAAGTACACCCACAAAAAACAAACTGGGGCAGATAATCAGGTGATATAATTGTTTTAGCTCTGGGTGGATAGTCTTTTTAGTACATATCATTTTCATTACAACAATTATCATAAGACCTGCTACAATATATGATAGCCAAATTGAGAGAAATCCAGTTCAGAAATGAATAAATAAATATCTACACTTCCTCTTTCTCTAACCTTAATGCTAAAACTAAAGGTTTTGCCCAAAATGTACCCCATGTGTGGTCCAGATGAGAAACTTCTCACAGGAAAAAATCTATGGATACCACACAACTTCCCCTTGGGGTGCTTTTACAAATGCTTAAAAATGGAGCCTCTAAGCGTTCTGGTTCTCTCAACCATAATCCTAAACCTAACCTTAAAACTATTGCTCAATCCCTGCCCTGTGGAAGCATCCCAGAAGCCTAGATGAAAAAATCCTCACCGGGAGCAATGACTGAGCAGTGCAAACCTGCACCCAGCATTCCACATGCATAGCAGTGGTGCCTGTACTGTCTGATCTTTCTGTCAATCCTAACCCTAACACTAAATCCTTAGCTCGGGCCCTGTCATGGGGAAGAACCCCATTTGTGAGCCAGACAAGATATTCCTTCTAGCAGCAATCCCTGAGGAGCACACACTTTCCCCTATTGGCCTCTTTCCAACCAAATACCATTGGCATCTCCATGCTTATTCTCCCAACCCTAACCCTAAAATATTGCCCACACCCTGCAGCAGGACCCCAATCTTGGTCAGAAGAGAAACTCATCCCAGGAAACATCTCTGGGCTGCACACACCTTCCCATAGTGGTCTCTTTCCATGTGCATACTGATGGTGCCTGTACTCTTTCTCTCAACCCTAACCTAACCTAAAACTCTTGCCTTATCCATGCCATGTGGAAGATCCCTATTTGTGGAACAATCAAGAAACTCATTCTAGAGCAATCTCTAAGTAGTGCCCACCTTCCCTTCCCCTGGTGGCCTCTTTCCACAGGCACACCTATACCTAATCCTAAAACTTGCTCTGCCCTATGGAACATGTGTTTGCCAGACTAGAAGTTGCTTCCTGGAAGGATCTCTAATTATCGATTACCTTCCCTTGTTGGCCTTTTTATTTATTTATTTGTTTATTATTTTTCCCAAGAACATATCAACAGGGCCATTATACTTTCGTTTTCTACTAACCCTAGTTCTAACTATAAATGTAATATTTTGCCCTGTGGATGCCATGTGGAAAACTGCCATTTGTGTCCCAAATTAGAAAGTCCTCCCGGGAACCACTTTTGGGCAGCACACACCTTCCCCTGACAGCCTCTTTCCAAATATATAACAACAGGTCCTCTAGGCTTTCTGTTTTTCTCATCCATAACCCTAAACCTAAAACATTTCCCCATCCCTGCCCTGTTGAATTCCTCCATCTGTGGGCCAGGTAAAAACTGCTCCCAGGAACAATTTCTGATAGTGTACACCTTCTCCTGGCGGCCTCTTTCCAAATGCATAACTACGGATCCTCTGGGCTTTCTTGGTTCTCAATCATAGTTAGCACTGTGAACCAAAACTGAGAGAGTAGTCCTGTACATATAATGACTGATGAATTTCCAATGATCCAGTTAGTCTCCCAATGACTTAATCCCAATCTCTTATTAACTATTGCTTTATACTCATCTATTATTCTGATATTTCTTAAAGCTTTATAACTGAATGCAACTGATGGCTTCATTAGCTTAGTGCAAGTACACAGGTATGCTTAAGGAGAGTTCAGTGCTAAAAGTGCTCTTCTTAAATGCCTTTCCAAATATACAGCTGACTTCGCTATGCCAAAAAAAAAAAAAAAAAATCACCTGGAAGAAGACACTATTGGAAATCCAAACATTTTAAACCGAAGCTAAGTATATCTACTAGAGTATGAATTATAATATTTTTGCAATGATTCCTGGTAGCTGTTAATTGATCAACAGTTGTTAAAGAAAATTAATTCAGCTTAGAATTCTTATCATTTAGAGTCTATCAAAGTGAAGGAAGAAATACCATTGAGACTGGAGCAGAAAGTAGTGTAATTGTAATTTGACTGAATAATCATCTATTTTATTTGATTCTCAGTATTTATACAGTTTTATGATTTAGTTTGGAATCTTTTTGTTGGTATATCAAATTGTCAACTATAAGTAGTATAAACTCAGAATTAAGGTTTGGGTGGTACATGAAGGATCTCTTCTAATTTGAATTAATCTCTTTGAAAACAAAATATGCTTATGTTTGGATTTACAGTGTGGTTTAGACTTTAATTTTTAAAGGTTACTATAAATTTACTTTTTATTTTAAAAGTGCATTTTTCTATTTTGGATATTTAAAACTAGATATGAAGATCCCTTTTCAATAGCTATATAAGAACAATTCTGTTTTAAAGGTATTCTGTGGCTCATGCAAGACTTTAAGCTACTTTTATTTAAATACTGAAATATGAATTTTAGGGCCATATATATCTGAACATCTGATTGTCACTTCAGGAACTTACTTAAGTATAACCCATAATGTCTACTCAGATCTTTAGAATTCCCATATTGCTGCTAGTCAGTCTCTGATGGGAATTACAAAATGCTGATATTGAAGTCAAGGTATTTTGTAAGGTGCTCAACAACCTGCATCTTCTTAAATCACAAGAGGATTCTAAAATTAGTGACCCCACTCAACTCAGTCTAACTAAATGAGACATCATACAATTAACAGGTAATAATGAGACTTTGATGTGCTCTGTATGTGTTTGTCTGCTGGTAGATTTAGAATTAGTTTTCTTATACAGGAGCTGAAATACTTGTTTTCGTATCTCTTACTCTGCCTAGGTCAGGGAAGATATTAAATATCTCCTGTTCTTAGAAGTCATCTAAACAGCTGTTTATTTACATTTAGTTTAATTTTCCCTGTAGAAAATTTTTCATTTTGTGTAAGTTATTAGATGTCAAACCATAGAGGCAACCGAAAAGAGCAGTGGAGCAGTGAGATACCCTGATGATTAATCTAGAAGGTATTCTTCTGGAATGAAGAATATGTCTATGCTACTAAATGAGAATGTCATAACCCTAACACTAAATCCTTAGCCCGGGCCCTGTCATGTGCAAGAACCCCATTTGTGAGCCAGACAAGATATTCCTTCTAGCAGCAATCCCTGAGGAGCACACACTTTCCCCTATTGGCCTCTTTCCAACCAAATACCATTGGCATCTCCATGCTTATTCTCCCAACCCTAACCCTAAAATATTGCCCACACCCTGCAGCAGGACCCCAATCTTGGTCAGAAGAGAAACTCATCCCAGGAAACATCTCTGGGCTGCACACACCTTCCCATAGTGGTCTCTTTCCATGTGCATACTGATGGTGCCTGTACTCTTTCTCTCAACCCTAACCTAACCTAAAACTCTTGCCTTATCCATGCCATGTGGAAGATCCCTATTTGTGGAACAATCAAGAAACTCATTCTAGAGCAATCTCTAAGTAGTGCCCACCTTCCCTTCCCCTGGTGGCCTCTTTCCACAGGCACACCTATACCTAATCCTAAAACTTGCTCTGCCCTATGGAACATGTGTTTGCCAGACTAGAAGTTGCTTCCTGGAAGGATCTCTAATTATCGATTACCTTCCCTTGTTGGCCTTTTTATTTATTTATTTGTTTATTATTTTTCCCAAGAACATATCAACAGGGCCATTATACTTTCGTTTTCTACTAACCCTAGTTCTAACTATAAATGTAATATTTTGCCCTGTGGATGCCATGTGGAAAACTGCCATTTGTGTCCCAAATTAGAAAGTCCTCCCGGGAACCACTTTTGGGCAGCACACACCTTCCCCTGACAGCCTCTTTCCAAATATATAACAACAGGTCCTCTAGGCTTTCTGTTTTTCTCATCCATAACCCTAAACCTAAAACATTTCCCCATCCCTGCCCTGTTGAATTCCTCCATCTGTGGGCCAGGTAAAAACTGCTCCCAGGAACAATTTCTGATAGTGTACACCTTCTCCTGGCGGCCTCTTTCCAAATGCATAACTACGGATCCTCTGGGCTTTCTTGGTTCTCAATCATAGTTAGCACTGTGAACCAAAACTGAGAGAGTAGTCCTGTACATATAATGACTGATGAATTTCCAATGATCCAGTTAGTCTCCCAATGACTTAATCCCAATCTCTTATTAACTATTGCTTTATACTCATCTATTATTCTGATATTTCTTAAAGCTTTATAACTGAATGCAACTGATGGCTTTATTAGCTTAGTGCAAGTACACAGGTATGCTTAAGGAGAGTTCAGTGCTAAAAGTGCTCTTCTTAAATGCCTTTCCAAATATACAGCTGACTTCGCTATGCCAAAAAAAAAAAAAATCACCTGGAAGAAGACACTATTGGAAATCCAAACATTTTAAACCGAAGCTAAGTATATCTACTAGAGTATGAATTATAATATTTTTGCAATGATTCCTGGTAGCTGTTAATTGATCAACAGTTGTTAAAGAAAATTAATTCAGCTTAGAATTCTTATCATTTAGAGTCTATCAAAGTGAAGGAAGAAATACCATTGAGACTGGAGCAGAAAGTAGTGTAATTGTAATTTGACTGAATAATCATCTATTTTATTTGATTCTCAGTATTTATACAGTTTTATGATTTAGTTTGGAATCTTTTTGTTGGTATATCAAATTGTCAACTATAAGTAGTATAAACTCAGAATTAAGGTTTGGGTGGTACATGAAGGATCTCTTCTAATTTGAATTAATCTCTTTGAAAACAAAATATGCTTATGTTTGGATTTACAGTGTGGTTTAGACTTTAATTTTTAAAGGTTACTATAAATTTACTTTTTATTTTAAAAGTGCATTTTTCTATTTTGGATATTTAAAACTAGATATGAAGATCCCTTTTCAATAGCTATATAAGAACAATTCTGTTTTAAAGGTATTCTGTGGCTCATGCAAGACTTTAAGCTACTTTTATTTAAATACTGAAATATGAATTTTAGGGCCATATATATCTGAACATCTGATTGTCACTTCAGGAACTTACTTAAGTATAACCCGTAATGTCTACTCAGATCTTTAGAATTCCCATATTGCTGCTAGTCAGTCTCTGATGGGAATTACAAAATGCTGATATTGAAGTCAAGGTATTTTGTAAGGTGCTCAACAACCTGCATCTTCTTAAATCACAAGAGGATTCTAAAATTAGTGACCCCACTCAACTCAGACTAACTAAATGAGACATCATACAATTAACAGGTAATAATGAGACTTTGATGTGCTCTGTATGTGTTTGTCTGCTGGTAGATTTAGAATTAGTTTTCTTATACAGGAGCTGAAATACTTGTTTTCGTATCTCTTACTCTGCCTAGGTCAGGGAAGATATTAAATATCTCCTGTTCTTAGAAGTCATCTAAACAGCTGTTTATTTACATTTAGTTTAATTTTCCCTGTAGAAAATTTTTCATTTTGTGTAAGTTATTAGATGTCAAACCATAGAGGCAACCGAAAAGAGCAGTGGAGCAGTGAGATACCCTGATGATTAATCTAGAAGGTATTCTTCTGGAATGAAGAATATGTCTATGCTACTAAATGAGAATGTCAGGGAGCAAGTGAAATCTTTGAGCTTAAGCAGTGAATCTTTCATAGCATTTTAATTATTAACTAACTCTTTCAGCAAGTATGTTTTGCTAAGTTTCACTTAGTTCTTCACAATCTACCAAAGGAAATTTAGGTCTAAAATGTGTGGATGCAAGTTGCTTGATGTCACTTGGCTTTGAGATCAGAGGCTCCTTCATGTCCTTCTTTTAATATTATATATGGACATAATTTAAGCAGTCTATAGTGCACATTAAGCAGAGTCAGAATTTTAAAACAGCTCTTGTTTCCCATGGGATGATTTTTGAATTGCCAACTGTTCAGCAGCTTGGGAGTTTCAACCTGTTTTAACCACTTGACTTCTGGTGAGGATTTGTGTTAAACAAGCCAGAATAAATACTTGTCTTTATTCTGAAGTTCAGCCCATCTTATAAGACTCCATAGAGAGTAGAAGACACCCTGAAGACACCCTGGCTCAGAATGGAGGGAAGGGGAGGTATAAATTGTGTTTGGCAAGGAGATATTTACCGTAGTAAAGTAGACAGCTAGAACTAACGTGGTAAATATCTACCTCAGAAATGCTGCATGTTGCTACCTTAGGATGCAGGATGCACCTACAAATTAGAAGCTGCAACTCTTCCAAAACTTAGCTGATATTTCCGTAATTTAAGCCACATATGTTGAATGGTAACTGCAATATGTATGTAATTCCAATAAGAGTTATAATTTCACTTGCTACATCGGCGTGCTGTAGCATTAAGCAATATGGGTTACGAAAACTCTGTTTTTAATTTTTCTATCTTTCTTGTTGCTTCAGGTGCTCATATTCAGTTTCTGAATTTCTCTACTGAAGCAAATCATGACTTCCTTGAAATTCAGAATGGCCCTTACCACACCAACTCTATGATCGGCCAGTTCAGCGGAGCAGAACTCCCATCACCTTTACTAAGCACAACTCATGAAACACTCATCCATTTCTACAGTGATCACTCGGAAAATAGGCAAGGATTTAAAATGACATACCAAGGTAAGCAAGAACTAGCACGCACACACACAGACACACACAAAAACTATTTTGGTATAATTAATTTCTCTCATGAAATTAGTACTTGTACCTTAAGTCATTTGTAGACACTATCATACTTTCTTTTAGAGACCATGTACTTAGCAAGATTTTGTGTACCTTTTGAAGGAAAGTGTGCATTCACTTTTTAGTGGTCTGTGTGGTCTGTGTGACACTTCAGAGAGGGGACAAGGGAACAGGTTCGTTTTTTATTATTTTTATTTTTATTTTTTAAAATCTTTATCTCTTCTTGTGTATCCCATTGTGTATTTCCTCTACGTGGCATCCTATGGTTTTGCCAAGAGCTGTATTTTTCGTTGATATTTAAGGAAATCATAGTCCAAATCAAAGTATAAAATGACACGGATTTGAAATAAAGTTCATATGTATCTTGACTATCTTACAGTGCTTTGTGGTTGGTGTAGATACCTAGATACTCCTAATCATTGGTGATGCTTGTTTGTTTTTTTGTTTGCTTTCCCTTAGAGCCTGACACCTAAACTGAGTGACCCATTTGGCACTGTGACATTAGATGTGACTCAAATGTGCTTATCCATTTTTTCTCTTTAAAATATCAGGTGGTTCTTTGGAGCTAAAGGTGCAAAGGTTTAATAAAACTGAGGATAGAGATGTATATCATGACTTTCTGTGCTCCTCTTGTCTCAGGCAAATTTATTTTTTGATTTATTACATGTATTTAAACAGTATCTCTCTAGCAGACAGACTTTTGTAGTCTATCCTATAGTCCCTAGAACTACAAATACAAGAAAATGCATATATTTGACTATCTCTTTATTCTGATACCATTCTAAAAATATAGAGGGGCTGGTGTTATCTCCTGATATTAGAGGTGCTCTTTAAGCAAACTTTACTGTTGTAAAATGAAGATTTGAAAGTGTTTTATGAAGGCTAAGACTTCCTGGTGGCTGCTCATCTTTGGAGAAAACAAAGAATACGAGTAGTGTACAGTGATTGTTAAAATTAATAATGCTATTTCTCCTTAATATTTCATAATAAGTTGTTGTGAAATAAACACAGTTTTTTTTCTCAATTGTTTTGAAAAAAATACTTATGCAATTGAAGGTTTATATAGCCTGGGTTTGGACTGTTCAGAGTAATTCAGTATATGACATTTTGTGGGAGGCAGAAAGTCTATGTATGCCGAGAACAACAAAACCTTACTTCTTGCCTCGGCAAGGAGTGAATGCTGCTGCTTGGGCACCTGATTTTTTTAGCACAAGATTTGAATATATAACCTGCATTACTTAACCGTGAATCTCTGAATGCAATAAAAATCTTCCTGTCCTTAGCAAGAGCCTGAGGAGGTTGCAACTCTGAATATCATCAACAGTTTTTTGTTTTATGTGCTGCTGTCTCAGCAAAAACGTGTTCGTGTTTTGTTATAGCTTTAGCTTTGCAATTACACTACCTAAGGAAAGGTGTGCATTTTATTTGTGTTTAAGATTACTAAATTGGTGGGACTTCATTCATTCTGTGTTCTACCCATGGCAAGAAGGGAGTTCATATTGGTGACACTTGGAGCTTTGGAACAATTCAGATCACTTTTATCAAATATTATTTTTTATTCATTTGTTGAATTACCTAAAAATTTAGAAGTCCTCAGTTTAAAAAAATAGCAACATGTTAATTTAATTAAAGTGCATTTAAAAATAAAATAAATATTCTACTGTTTAATTGAAAAAAAAAAAAGGAAAGAAAGAAACATTGAGAAAGGGTGGTGCTTTCATCTGGGGTTTTGACCCCTATGAAAAACAGCAAGCACAGGAAGCAACCCAGAAATAACACTTAGAAAAGCATTTATACATCACATTTGGTTCCTGAATTACTGGAACCCCCCCAAGTCCGTCTAATCTGAGATACAGGCAGACAGTGGAGCCTAGGGCTGCAGAGAAAAGTGGCTGTCGTAGAAGTGTGATTGACAATCCAGGGTAAGCAATTACAGCTCAGGGTGCTCTGCATATATCTGAGATGACACAGGATGTATGTTAGGTCAGAAGAAATAAAACTTTCTGTGGCCTCTGAGGGATTCAGTACAGAATTGTGGTCGTTCTAAAGGTTTTAAGATATCTGGTTTTGTTTTTATTTGGCAATGCTATGACGTTACCTCAGGTTTTTTTAATTATTTATTTCTGGGAGACCTTTTCTTTCCTGCTTAATTTTCCCTTTAGGATTAGTTTTCTTTTTCTTTTGAAGGAAATGGGTGAAAAGCATTGTTTGTGTGATTTTTTTACTTGGGGAATCTTAGTCCCTATGACTACAGCTCAGTAGAAGAATCCTTAATCTACTCTGAGTGTCTGTGTATCATAAAGCAGAATATGAGGTGAGAATCTCATTCTATTGTACCAGGAGAGAAAAATGTTCCAGGAGAGTAAAGAAGAAAAAAGTTCTAATGTGATTTCTTTCTTGGTCAAATACACACATGTACGTACACAAGATGATTTGTAAATGTTAAATCTGATGGAGCGTCTGAATCTTAAGAACTCTGGGAAGAAGGAATTTGCTGAAACACTGGTGTTTCTAGAATAGTTTCAGGAAATGCCTGAAGGAAGAAAAACTAATGGAAGTGAAATATATTTTGGGAACTCAAAAAATATATATATTTTTGAAGCAATGTTTTGTGACTCTAATCCTGCAACATTGCATTTGGGAAAATGATGTTCTCTGGCGCCTAAAGCACTAACCTGTGATTCCAGAGATATGTATTTTATTCTGCACACTGTAGCTATACACAGTATAGCTGTGGATACACTGAAGGAAGGTAGAGCAGGACTAAATTCAGGTTTTTTATGTAGTCTTAATTGTGACTTTTTATGTCGTTTGAGTGTTTTCATGCTTAGTTCTATGCTAATACAATTTTTCTGAATGGTAATTATTTCCATATTGAAGTGCTCTCTGTGTGTGTGGCACTTGCAAAGAGAGTAAGTCTTAACCCAAGGTTAATCTAACAAAGAAAGTAAATTATAAAAACAAAAGAACATAATCAATTATATTTCTTTTGTGATTTACACTCTCTTCTTACCACTGGAAAATATATTGCGCAAACCCAGAACTCAACACCAGATCATTTTAAAATTCAAATATTTGACTGCTGCCAGGGTTAGAAGTAAATCTTTCCCTTATATTTCCTTTACATACTTAGGTTTCATTTTGTTTTTTCACTAGAGCTTGGCTTCAGTGAAAAAATATATCATTTTGTAAAGCTCAATAGCAAAACAAGTCTTAGAGTATGGCATTAATAATAATAAAAAAAAGCTTTCTTTTGTGAGGTATGACATCAGGGTTTGTGAGAAATATTTGCTAGTGATAACGGAATAATTAAATGTTCTTTTAAATCAGGTATAGTCGGTACATATATCAAAGGATAGAAAATAATAAAATTGATATTTATATTAAAACTATAAAACAAATTCCTTGAGTGGCCTGTAATCATGATATGATAGTTGGCTGGATCACCTGATTTACTGTACTCCTATAATTTATGAAACATCTGTATGATTTATCCCAGCCATCACTTGCAGTGAGTATCTTTACACTTTCCACTGTTGTTTTTAACTGCACTCTCTTCATGTTCAAGTGCTTTCTTCTCTGATGGTTGACTTATGATCATCTGCTTTAGGTAAAGGATCAATTTCTTATTTTAAAAAGTTTCTGTGTATACTTTATTTAGCTTACAATAAGAAGGAAGAATATCTATTACTACGTAGTAACACATTAACTAGAATTTTCAGAGTTAGGCAATATTTATCCACCAGCACCAAATGGAATATTCCTAAAGGGATATTATGCAAATTAGAGGGCTAGGGAGATTTTGTCATTAATTTAGGATTTCCTCTTTTGCCTGAGGTGTTCCTGTGTTTTCTTCTCACATAGATCAGTGAGAAGAGCTTTTTTTTTAACCAAATCTTAAATTCAGTTCAGAAAAACAGCGAGCACAATAAACAAGATGAAAGTGGAACCCAGGCAGCAAATTAACCAGTAAGGTAGGGTAATTTTCATACCTGTTTATCTCCTCAAAATTTTGTAGAATCAAAGTTTAAAAGTTCCAGTAATTATTTATGTCACTGTAACTTTGGGACAATATAATATTGCACCTTGTTGTAAAGCTAACCTCTGAGGTTATCTAACCCTTCAGATACGTCCCCTGAATATCATCTGTTGCATTTATTTTAAGAATTTGCTAAGCATGTTTGATATATTTTTGATATAATTAGTCTTCATATGTCCTGTGCTCTTTAATAATCTCTGTAGTAATCTCACCCATACAAAAATACTGCTAATAATTCATATTGATAATAATTATATTATTTTTATTAGTGCTGTACTAGCAGTGATAGTAGGAGTAATAATGGTATTAAAAACCAATGAGCCAATAGTAGATTTAGCACAAACTTTAGTGAACCATAAACAAGTTATATTAAAGCTTTTTCTGCATCCTTTCCTCTAATAATTAGTGCTATTAATTGTTTTATTGCTGTTTTCTTTTCTTTCTTTTTGTTGAGTGAGTGAAGAGAAATCTGATGATCTCAATATATTTCTGTTATCCACATCTCTTCTAGTTGTATAACAAAGCCTGGATAATGGATCTGATGAATGAATTAGGGAAAAAGAAAGAGGTTTGTTTTTTCATTCAGAATGAATCTTCTATTTGTGATATAGTCTGACTGCATTCAGCAATGTCCGAAAAGGAAATATTGAAAATAAAGATTACACTAGTGGCCTTAGTTCAATAAAGAAATTAAGCACAAGCTTCACTTTAATTATTATTATTTTTATGATTATTAATCTAATTGATAACAAGTATATAGCCATGGGGATACACCATGTCCATATTGTCCTTATTAGATTTGGAAAAAAGTAAAAAAATACTTAATTCAATAGCATTTTCTCCACTTATTACTGTAATTGTAATAGTTGGACTTAATGGCACATATTAATATAAGACATACTTGCATTATGGAGCTTATTTGAACTTTGTCATATTTGACAGGAGTGTTTCGTATTTGAAAAAGAAATATATGGAGAAAGCAGGGCATTCTTTTTTCTCAACAATTGTTACTTGTCAGGCAGTTACTTGTTATCTTTTGATTGACTTTCTCTGACTGATTTCTATATAAGATTTTTGTAAAACTGTGTTCCTTTTTTATTTCTGTGGAACTGTTTAATAATGCAAATATTAAAAAGAAATATATTCATTAATGCAAATTATTTTTAAATTATCTTTGGGTCTAAATGAGTGTTAACAATGAAAGCTCCTTCTGAATTGTCATTGTACTAGTTTCAATCAAATAAATACGGTTAACAAATAATATTTTGAGACTTTTACAATATTAAATCCAAACATTAAGTGCAAGTAACCATTAATTCAATCCTTATATGGTGATATATCTAGAAGTTACTTTTTCCATGGTAAACATTTCTCAATTTTTCAGGACTTTTGAGTGTCATATTTTCTGTGACTGTACACTCCTTCATTAATTCTGTTTTTTGGTCAGGCTTTTTTTTTTTTTTTACATATGGCTATATATATTTAAAAAAATACAATTCTGGATTTCTTAATGAATGAATGATCTTATATCTTACTGAACTACTTAGTACAGAATTTACAAGTGAAAGCACATTTAAAGAATTGCTGTGGTTAATAGATTGCTGGTTTATTAGTTGAAATAAGCATATAATTTAAGTGGTGTAGGTAATGATCAAACTGCAGTGCTTGCAGTCAAATATAACCTTATTATTACATATGCCTAGCTTGAAAGCTGAAATTTTTGTGTTGCTACATAATGTTTCTCTACATATGGAATTGCAAATCTCCATTTTTTAATGTTCTGCTGCAGTTCCAACCACTCCTGGCAGATGACATTCAGTGTAGAATACGAATCTTAACAGGAAACACTGTTAACTTTACAGAACTTGTCTCAGGTTCATATGCTGCTAATAGTTGTATTAATATTCTTGCATATTAATGACTTGGTAGTTGCACTTTGAACATGGCCATTCTACAGATTTTCGTGTTTCTATAAATATTGCTGGACTGTAGGTATTGATGCTGAATTTTCTCTCCTAAATTGTTTTACTCTTTCTCTTACTTGTAATAAATTGTACTTTTTCTTATGCAGGAAATAAAATACATGATAAATTCTGTTATAACATTTTTTTTTGAGACTGTGGTAACACTTATTTTTGAGTAGTGGAAAACTACTAGTTTCCACAAAAAAAGATTATATCTGATTTATTATGAACTTTATGCAGCTTTTGGATATAGTGTTGTTGCTTTATATTCCAGATTATTTTTAGACTATTTTTTAAATTAAACAATTGTATGACAGAACTTGGGCTCAGAGCACATAATTTACATAATATCCTAATCTGTCATTAACAACCACAAGTCAGATTGAGGTTATCTAACTGTTGGTTGGATTGTATTTGGTAGAAGCTTAAACTAGGTATGTAGTAACTATTGGGAACAGTTGGGAACTACTGGGAACAATGATATTAGTAGTAGTAATAGGCACTTAAAAGAGCAGTGAAATAGTTTTGCTATGTATTAATTTCATACATTTTCAGAAGATATATTGAGGTAGAGTGTAATTATACCAAAGAGGGCATCTGTAGGGATAGAATGTAGTCAAAGCAGAGAAAAGGTGTTGCATGGTAGAAAAATCTCAGATGCAGTAAAGCTTAAAGACAAAATACTATTATAGAATATTCCTTTTTTTCACCCTCTGCATCTAATATTTCTTTGTGCTTCTTCTCCATTGTTATGTAATAAGCAGTCATCATTCCATTCCAGATTTTGATCTTTCGCTATGTTTTGTTTCCAGTAGAGATCTTCCCGATATTCAAGATGGCTCAAATGGATGATTTATTTCTTACTGATATGTTAATCACTCTCTTATTAGTTTTCAGCTTTCTAATGCTTGCCTATTATTTCTGTTCCCTTCTAGCTTATGAGTTACAGAACTGCCCTGATCCTCCTCCTTTTTTAAATGGATATATAGTCAACTCCGATTACAGTGTGGGTCAGTCAGTATCATTTGAATGCTATCCTGGTTATGTTCTGAGAGGTCAGCCTGTTCTCACATGCCAACATGGAATCAACAGAAATTGGAACTACCATTTCCCCAGATGTGAAGGTAACTTTCTGGTAGTACCTGTGCCTCTGAACTCATTATACTTTCTGATTTTTCTGTGTTTGCTTGCATGCATCTAATGTAATTTTGCTGAAGAGTTGGACTTTTATCCTAATGTGTAATGCCCACAGCCAAAGCCAGAATATTATGTAATTTGATAAATCATAGTTTATGAATCATGCTCCTTAGCAGTGATATATTCTTCCTGTTGCTATCTGACAAAGATTTATTGCTTATGAGCACTTACAATACTGCCAGATATAATCTTTAAGATCCGTGTGAAATTTGTCTTTTTTTGACTTTCTTCTCTTTTTTCTGATTCTTTGGAAGAAGTGTGCTGTCACATAAATTGCACTATTTGAAAGCTTTTACTCGGGCTTTCATTCAAATGAGAGAAACAAAATTGCTGACACTCATTTAGATCTTCAAAGGCTTTGTCAAAGTATCCTATAGGATGTTTTGAAGAAACTAAGCAGACATTGTGTAAAAACAAATTTTGTCTTCCTAAATAGCTGATTAACCATGACATTAAAAAAATCAAAATTAAAAAATGACTGATTTTAATCATAGCAAGAGGTTAATGGTGCTACAGATTTTTATTGTAGAAAGTAGTCTTAGTATTCTTATCACTTACATTGAAAGATGGGTGAGATATTTGATGTTTTCAGGTTCAAATCAAACCTGATAATCTTGTGGGAAATTTCAGAGAGATCTACATGAGCTATAGGAATAATCCATGACAAAAAAATTAGAGGCAAATTATCCTGCTACAGGGCCAGGAAGAGTTTTCCTAGGGGAACAGGTTAATGTAGTATTTCCTACTCTGAACTCCTCTGTGTTTTTTAGCAGACAAGTGGAGTTCAATTTTGTAAGAACCACAAACTAGACGAGATGGGCTAAATGTCTGATTCGACATTGCAGTTTCTTGCTTATAAGAACTTATCAACTGAAATAAACATTTCAGTTTATTTTCTGTCTGTTTTTTTTGTTTGTTTGTTTTGGGTTTTTTTTTTTTTTTTGAATGATATTGTCCTAATAGCTTAACCTAATGTATTTCAGCATGTGAATGTGTTTTAATACATGCTTGGGATTTAAGCTATACAACTTCTTTGTATTGAAAGTAAATCTGTCAAACAAGAAAAGCTTTAATGTTAGTTGTGGTTTTCTAGCAGTCAACCAGTTCCCTAACAGAGAAGGATTTATTCCCAAAGTTCATTTATGCATTTTATCATAGTAAAGAACTAGCTTTAGTTTCCTGAACATCCCAAGAAAAAATAGACTCTATCTGTGGGAAATACTGAAGGAAATACTGACAAGTATTTTGAAGATGAAACACTTTCAAGACTGTTCCACTTGAAGAGTCCCTAAGGGCCCAATAAAATTGTATGTGGCAGCACATGGAAGAAGTCACATTGCACATAAAAAGCAAAGAATTTTTAACTAAAGGTCAGTGAAGCAAATGGCTATCACTTTTTTTTTTCCTCCTTTTGGAGAAGACAATATTGGAAACACAATATCTGGAATGAATATTTATCACTGGAGATAGGAAGGGGCCATGCTTCCTGCCTTCAGAAGGTTAATTAGGAGCAGGTACTCACTTGAACAAATGACAATATTGAATTTTGTCTTATTCTCAAAATAAAAAATAGGATTTTTATTTCCAAGGATTAGCCAGGTTTGCAGATTTATGACAGTATAGAAATAAAAATATTAAAATGATATTTCCGATACTGAATAAAATTGGAATGTTTCCAGCATAGAAGTGAATGTATGTGTTCTGTAGAATCAATGGTCCATTTACTGTTAAATGGCTGCCAAGCTAAAATCTTCCATTTTACTTTTTATTTATTTTTCATAATAGCTGTGAAGCTGTTTCTATTTAATATAAAATCTTTCAAACTAACAATTTCTCCTTTAGAGAGAAAGATAAGTTAAAAAAGGAAATAGCAGCATCACCTATTAATATTTTTATTGCATAATGACACTATTTTAGGAAACTATAGTTCTATTTGAAAGTGTATCACCTTCTGAGTCTTACGGAACTCGACTGGTTAAGGAACAACAGCCTAAGATACCTCTTATAAAGCTATATTTCCCAAAGGAAAAACATTGAGAGGCATAAGTGAAAATACATCTGGGAGATCACAGCTGACACTTTCCTTAGACACACACTGTGATAATGCCTCGCATCTTGGCAAAGTACTTGGTTATAACTCATGATGAGGATTATTCTACCCATCCTTTGCAGGCCTGCAATGACATTACCAAAATGGACATGATGTATGTTTTTTTTTTTTTTAGGTTTCTCCTGACATCCCATTTGCTCTTTTCTCTTATTGTCATATTTCACTTTCAAATTAGAAGAATATTAACACTCCTTTCACATTCTCAGACTGGTTATAAATCTAACAGAAAATGGGGATATTTTATAATCATCCTGACAAACTTAATGATCTGAGCCAAATGTCTCCTGCTGTTAAAATGGTTATTTCACCTTCATTTACATTCTTCCTGAACTTACATAGTGCTCACATCACGTCTCCCTCAGATTGTGATAGAGATTTTTTCAATTTACTGAAAAACTTTCACCGCTGGCATATTTAAATAAAGGATGGGAACCATTATCTCCTGTATCTTTGGAATTAAAAGTTTCTGTAACATTTTATTTACATTTTACATCTGATCTTACTCTGTCACGTTCTATTAAGAATAACTGTCTCTTTCTCTTTACAGTTACATAGAATTTCTGTATTGATACATGTTTATGAAATATACATTAGTTTATGTGACTTAATTTTGTGCAGAAAATATGTGTGTATATATATATATACACATACATATATATATATGTATGTGTATATAATTGTTTCATAGCAGCTTTGGAAAAAAAACAGATATGAAGGCAGTGCAGGGCTACAGGATGATCAGGGGCCTGGAACATCTGCCCTATGAGGACGGGCTGAGGGAGCTGGGCCTGTCTGAGAGAGGACCTGATCAGTGCATATAAGTACCTCGGAGGAGGTAGTGAGGAGGATGGGGCTGGGCTCTTTTCACTGGTGTCCACTGATAGAACTAGAGGAAACACCCACAAACTGAAGCATCAGAAGTTCCATGGGAACTTAAGAGAAAATTCTTGACACTGAGGGTGACAGAGCACTGGAACAGGCTGCCCAGAGAGGCTGTGGAGTCTCCTTCTCTGGAGATCTTCCAAACCCGCTTGAATGCAGTCCTGTGCCACGTGCTCTAGGTGACCCTGCGTGTGCAGGGGGGTTGGACTAGATGACCTCTAGAGGTCCCTTCCAACCTTAAGCATTTTATGATTCTACGATTCTCCTTAAGCTTCAACTATATGTATCTGCTGATTAAGGAAATATTCTGCTAAAGAGTAGGCAAGACTTGAATACATCTCTTCTGTTGAAAACATGGGTAAAGAAAACTGGATTGAACTGTAAAATTTGTACAATTTGTAATACTATTTTCAATTACCAATCAGACATCCAAAAACTTGGGGGAACTACTTATTCTATATCTAGGATTTGTGGAAATACTGAAGCAAATCATTGATTTGCCTTCCCATTACAATTATACCCTATTTTTTTACCCTGCCACAGATCAGATTTCTGATTATATGTTTTCACATTGCTGTGAGAGCATCAATGGGTTTCATGTAGTTTGGTGGTGTTTAAAAATAGCTGTTTGATATTGGGAAAATATAATTTTGGGGAAGAATATACTTTTTTGAACCTAGTTGAAGATAACTTAGCTTTTTTTTTTAGAAAAAAATAGAAGAAACTTTTTTTTTAATTATTTAAAACACTTCTCTGAATTAACATAACAGATGTGTAGAGAGGAAGTTAGCCATTAGCATAGAAAGTGCCCCTCAAGATGAATATTGTGATGATACTTTTAAAGAAAAGCTCAATATAATTTCAGGAGCTGGTTGGGGGAAAAACGCATAGATGCAGGCTGGATGATAATTTTCATGCATAGTCAGACTAACTAGCTGAAAATAAAAAATGGTCTTGACATACAGCCAACTCTTCTCTGCCCTGCCCTAGTTCTGTGCATACACTTGCATCAAAACTCCATAGGTCATCTCTACCTTATCCTTCTCAGTCACAATACTTAGGCTCATCCCCTGATACTTGCTCACCCTTATTTCCTTAGAAAGCCATCCACTTTTCTTATAAAAATCACCATCAAAGAAAATATCTTTGCATAGGTATAAGAAAGCATATTCTCTCGAAAAAGATGAGAATGAATATACTGACAAATTCCTGCAGTTAAAGACTGCTTCTACATGATATTTTTGTCTTTCTTGTGTCATTCTAGAACTGCTTAAGAAGATCTAAAGAACCACCTTAACACATATTTGTTAAAGTGAAATGAAGATGCAGCACATGTCTATGTTGGGATAATACTTCCTTTAAAGTAGTTGGGCTATTGGTGTCTCTAATAAAAAAAAAAGAGAGAGAGAGAAAAAAAGATCTTGATAAATCAGAGTTATAGTAATGGCAAAATAATAACTACAGATATAATTGCAGTGTTGATGAACAGAGTATTCTTGAATTGATTTAGAAAGTACTGAATAATAGCTTTTTTTTACAGTTCATTTTTAACAGTCTTTTTAGTAAGTTCACTAACACATACTGATTATGACTTTTTTTACTGTTTTATGGATAAAATGCCTCACTTCAGTTCCTTAGTGTCTGGCTTAAAAGGATACCAGTTTTTTATTGTTCTGGTAAATGGTTGATAATTTTAAACATTCAGTGATGGTAGAATGGCATTAGTATACAAATTTATATCCTGGAGTGATTTGATCATGTGTCATTGTTTTTGTATCTTCTGTTCTGATATAGTTTCCGTAGAGTAGATAAATAATAATCTATTTATGTATAAAAGCTTTAATGCTTGCAAAATGCCTGTGTGCTTTTTATGTGAAAATGATACTCATTCAGCTGTTCGGAAAAACAGACACTTTTTATACAAGTATTCAAAAACTAAGTCTGCTGCAGAACATTTTGGAATTTTTGTAAAGACTTTTTAACATATTAATTCTGATGTTAACATTTTGTGCCCTCCTGTATGTTTCCTGATGAATGATATCTTGGATCACTGTTTTGCATTGAATATTTAGGTTGCTTTTTCTCTTGGTAACACAGTTCTTTTGCATGTGAGCACAACGTGCCAAGCCTGCACACCAGCATCCACATGGCAAAGTTGCACACAGCTGTGGCCTGAGTGCGTGCATCTCGATTTTGTCTGAAGTTGCATGAATTTCTATCTATGATTTTTGACTGTAGAGCCTGTTTCTTATTGTGTTGACTGAGAAAGCAGAGTAGTTTTCAGTCTCTCATTCCACCATAATAGCACTTTTCTCACTTTGTAGATTATTTGCTTCTGCACGTTTAAGCTAGTGCTGTCACAGCACAAAAAAAAACAGTATTGCATATAAATGACCTGTTATTGCAATAAGGAATGCAAATGGCATAGGGTGTTAGTAGCTTTTGACCCTTGGAATTTGGCAGTAGGTCTGAGAGGGAAATCAATAGAAGAATGAAATGACCTTTGTAGCTATGGCCAGTCTTCTTACAAACCATAAATCAAAATCTTTCTATGGCATATTCCACATACTTCAGAAAACTGAGAGAAATAAGAGATTTGGTAGATCTCTTATTCATAGATGGAAATTAACACTGACTTCAGAGGACAAGGTGAGGCTGGCAATGCAGTTGTCAGAAGGAAATGTGGTGATGATAACTTATAAATGATTTACAAAAGAAGGATAATGAATAATTGTGTGAGAATCCTTCAAGGGTTCTTGTTTTTCTAAGATGTCAAAATATATGGTTAAGAATTTGATGTAACCAAGTTACACTAGGTTGCTTGAATCCCCACCAATTTGTTACACCCAAAATCTTTTTATGAGGATCATGCCATACATGCAAAGCCAAGAATTTAGAGATAGTCCAGATAAAATCTCAACAGTCTAATCAGCAAATGAGTCCAGTCACTCAGTGATACTAATGCAGTTCAGATTAGATAGACTTAGGCTGGTATGCACCCGAACTTTCTAGTATATATATATGCCACCCTTCTCTGGTGTTATACCCTCTCTTCAGCTGCCCCCAGGGACTTGAAATTGATGACCTGGGTCTAGGGGATGGGGACAGCAAGTTCATTCCACACAGAATTTTTTCTTATTATCAGTCTTTCAGTCACGGGAGTATATAGAATGCTATTAAATATTACACTACACAGTTGTACAAAGCTAAGCAAAAGATAAACAAAAAATAGTTACCTGGTCATTAGATAATTGCTATCACAAGTTAAAAGCAAAGGTCCAGTGTAGCAGAGAAAGTCCAGTCTAAGCCTGACATGTCCTGTGGCCTGTGTTGTTTGCTTAACACAGAATCTGTGGCTTCTTACTAGAAATGGCACCACAGTATTAACATGCCACAAAGTTAAGGTATTACCTCTTAAAGACTTTGTTCTCTCCACATCTTTCCTGTTGTTTATTCCATGATTTCATTTGATTCTTAACAGTTCCACATTCTTTCTAGCTTCTCATATGTACTAGGGGATCTATGAAAGTGAAGTCCTACTCAAAAATATAAAGCAATATATTTTATCTACTAGCATTAAAAAATTGTCTCACATGCTCCATTTGTATAATGTTTTAGCCACTGGATGTGCTGTTACTATATTTTTGTATCATCTTAGCTAAGAAGATGAATTCACTATGATTTTCAGATTTAAATCATAGGATAAAAATAAGAGACCTGGTTTTGCGGGGGGTAAAGATGAGAGCAATGAGACCAGGTAGCACTTTTTATAAGGACTCAAACTAAAAGAGACAAGACCTTTCCAGGCTAGCTGTACAATTCTGTCTCATTATGTAAAAGATATGGAGTGTTTCGGTTTTGTTTTGTTTCTTTGTCTGGTGAGCACCATCAGGGCCAGCAGTAGGTAGGAAAAACAAACAAATAAAAACCGAGTACATGATACCAATGCTGGAAGCTTGCCCCCTGAAGAATCCCACTGGAAATCTGTGTCTGCATCATGAAAATAAATTTTGGGAATTATCTGACTACAAGAGACAAAATATGGTTGTCTGCGATGTTTATCTGTCAAAAGCAAGATGAATTCAAATTCTTTTGCCCTGCCCCAGCAGAACTGTATGCTGAAAATAGGTGTTTTTTGTTTTTTTTGGGTTTTTTTGGTAATACTGTATTGGCTGTAATTTGAAACTTTTTTCACATACCTTGAGCCTTTTTTTTTTTTTTCCTGTAATTATAAGCATAGTGAGTGCCACCTAAAGCAGTGTGGCTTGATCATTAGAATTTTTGTCATCTGAGTCATCTGAGAAGAGATTTGTGGCATATGGCTGTCCTGAACCTAATAGGTCGTTCAGTGGCCTGCCTTGAGCTAGGAGACCAACCCTCTGGTCTATATCATTACAGCAAATTAGATGTGTTTTTTTCCTGCTGTCTAAAGGTAATACTGCTAGATGAATCTGTAAAGATGTTTACTGCTTTTACATACACAATGTTATTTATACCTGCAATTAGAATGTATTCATCTTACAGTCTTAGTGCATCTGTGAAACAGCATGTAGCACCTGAAGATGTACTGAACTGTAGTTTTAAAACTGTATTTTAAAAATGACAAGACTTCATAATATGCTTTTCGATTTCAAAATCATGTATTTCTTCATATCTGTCTTTCACAATGAAACACAGTAACTTCATTAATATTAGATTATTTATTCAAAATAAAGTTATTTCTGTCTTGTGTAGAATATAGCTTATTATTTCTGTTTAATTTTTTGTTGAGTGTGTTTTCCAAAGATCTTTGGAGAGAGCTGTCTGGGGAGAGCTATCAGCTGTGTGTATTGCCTTATCTGTTACATTACTGTTTTCTGTGACACTTTATTGATCTGTCCTAGCTAACGGGACAGACATCTCAGTCTTTACTGAGATGCAAACAACCTGCATTCTTTGTGGAGAGTTAGAGAATAGTGAAAGCAGAGTTAAAAAGTATGTAGTCATGGAAACATTAATAAATTAATTTGAAATACAATAAACTTTAAAGTATACTTTAAGTATAAAGCTTCAGTCAGAAAAAAATCTGCATCTGAAACTTAAAGGATTTTTTACTTATGACTCAATCTATATTGAGAAATACATTTCCGTGTAGTGAATATACTTCAATTTCAAGCACTGAGTACTGTGGAAGGAACAGGGCAGATTTTTTAGACCAAGCAGTCTGTTCATGGAGTACACGTAGAGGATGAGAGAATGGTGAAAATGGACTGAAGTTACGTTTTCATCATTGAACTGCCAGGGCTGATAAACATTATCAGTCGCCCTTCACGTGTATTTGCAACCAGGAATTAGTTAGATAGAATCAGCCCTTCTTTTCCTTAGGCTCTACTCTTTGTTGGGCATTAAAAGGACCATAGAAGTGGATACAGATCTGTTCTTACACGGGGAGTCTTTCTGAGCATCATGGTGACTCTTTCTGAGCATGGGTGACGAGTGTGAAGTGGTGAGAGCCCCTTTAGCCTGTCCAGTACATCCAGAGGCTTTCTGTGAACGAAGATACTCATTGGTACTCATCTACTGACCAGATGATCCCTGTGCCCCAACAGTATAGCAGCTCTAAAGCTTTTCCTTTTTTTTTTTTGGTCCCTTTCCTTCTTTTTTTTTTTCTGTTTTCTTTTTCTGTAACTTACTGAAAGGAAGCAAAGGAACCAAGAAGGTCTGACAGAGATTAACAGGAATCCTGACAATAATAATATAAACTTTGTGGTCAGAGCTAATGAGAAAAGTTCCAGAGGTAAACCAAGCCCAGAGATGCTACTAAGGTCTCACTTTTCTGTGAGTTTGCTGTAGTGACCATATGTCTTATCTAATCACATCCATGCTTACATCCATAATTAGTTAATTCTCCTGGTCTGAAATTGAAAAGAGTGCTCACTATTGCACATTTGTTACTCTTGAATTAATCAAACACCATTCCATGGCATTGATTTGCCTACAAATTTCATTCAGCAAGGGCATGCTAATTTATGCCTCTATAGTCAATTACCAAAATGAAGAATCAACATAAAAACTGCAACTGAAGTACCATTAAAAATAGCTAAAAACTCTTGTGAATGAAATACAGATGGTAGTTGTGGTTGTACAGAAGCATACTCAGCCTTTCCTTAAGAATTGTCTTGTAGTTCAAGTTCTGCAGATTTAGGTTAGCTTGTCTGTGGAGTTTTTAGAATTTGACAGCATTTTGGTTTTGTTTTTTTTAACATGAAGAAGTATGTTTCTCTTATTTTTTCATTTTTTTTATTTTCAGCTCCTTGTGGCTATAACATAACTGCTCCGAATGGTACAGTTTATTCCCCAGGATTTCCAGATGAATACCCAAACTCCAAGGACTGTACTTGGTTAATTATTGTACCTCCAGGCCATGGGATTTATATCAACTTCACCTTACTCCAAACTGAACCTGTGAATGACTACATTGCAGTTTGGTATGTATTAAAAAAAAACTTTTTTTTTTTTTTTGATTGATTGATTTGCCATAATCTCAGTTTCACAAATAAACTTTTCTTACTGTTGTCCTTTATAATGCAATTTCTTCTTTAATAAGCAGCATACATGTGTAGATGAGGCACTTAGGGACATGGTTTATCAGTCATGGTAGTGATGGGTTTATGGTTAGACTTGATGGTTTTCAAAGTCTTTTCCAACCATAATGATTCTGATTAATAGAACAAATTCTATTCATATATTAAATAATGAATATTGTTTGACGCTGCATGAGCACTTAAGAGCTTTCCTCCCCACTAAAAATCCTCTGAAAGTCAAAATTATTCAGCATGCAGATGTTATTAGATCTTCTTGTAGTGTACAGGAAGATACAAGTTTACAGGAGTCCTAAGTGGCCTCCATTTTCCAAATGAGACCATGTGACATAGAAGTAATATGACAGTCTGTAGTATGTTCCATTAATATATGCAGCAATATATGTTAGATGTGGCAAAACCTTTGGATATCATGAAGGCTTGTTCTAAAACCTTAATATGATTGATAGCAACAGCTTCCTATTATAACTGCTGTATTTCTCAAGCTATAATTTCAGTTGATTCTTGCATCTTGCAGCTGTTGAATTTTTGTATGCTCCAATTTCCCCAAATTATTATTTTTTATTCCCCAAGCCCACCTCAATTTTATGTCTTCATCTGGAAGAAGAGGAAGCAAGGTTGTCTAAATTCTTGTCTCAGATACTGAAGAGCAAGCATAGATGGTTATATCTCTGATAAGATGATAACATTGCACGCCTTTTCATCTATTGTTAACCCAAGTTCTCATGCCATATAATATAGTGGCTTTTCTCTTTCACGTGCTATGGATAATTTTTCAAAAATATAATAAAAAAAATAAAATAAGCTATTTTGCACAGAATATAGAAGATAACTTACTCTTGTGAGAGGTCATCTGCTCCCATCTTCCAAGAAAACCATCATTTCTGTATCTATTGCTCTCCAGAGCAAGGTTTTTCGAGACAGCAACACTCAAGTCCGTATAATCCATACAGGGACAGTTCAGGCAGCTTATAAGTGTTGGTGTTCATGCCCTGTAGTTTGACTGGAAGGGATATTTGTATTATCAGTAAATCCAGCTCTGAAATGCATTCTAGTTTGTCCTTCTTGGCATTAGTTAAATAAAAAGGTGCCTTGGCTGGTAAAGATCTAGCTGGGTCAGTGACTTCTTTCTTTTTCTTTTTTTTTCTATGTAAATAAATCTTAAAACCATGTTGACATTTTGAACTTGTTTGGCTGAAGTACATGCTGAATTCCTGAATTGTTACTTTATTTTAATATTTTTTTAAAGAATTGTTTTGCTGCTTATTTCTCTCGGTTCCTAATTGCCAGTGAATTACAAGTATGCTTTCTTTAGAGTTAGGTTCTGAGCTGTCAATGTAAGATATCTCCTGAATTCACTATGAGGAGGCTGTTTAGTGTAATTTATTTGTCATTCATACATATGCCATTCACTTCAGTATGAAAGAATAATGTCAAACTGTTATGGAATCATTATAAATTTGTTTGTTGTTGTTTTTCTTTTTTCCTCTTGGGAATCAGATTTTTAAAATGAAAACTGAAAATAAGGATAATTTATTCAAATTACATTTTAACAAAAAGAAGTAACAAATGCAAGCTATATAAATGTCATATGCTCTTCTTTTAAAACTGGAACCAGAGTACTGCAGAGTACTGCACTGATGAGTTTGTGATAGACAATCAATTAATACTTGGCTCTTTAGCGTAAGACTGATGTGAACAAATATGTCTGAGTTAAAGACAGTGAAAGGTCAGAAGCTGAATGCTTTTGGAGAGCGTCTAGATAATCTCTAGTCTGCTGAAGTATACAGCACAAAATGTTTTTAATTCATTTAGATTCAGTGGGTTTCATGTAAGACTACAAATAAGCATTGCAGAGCTTAAAAATTCTTCAATGATAAAAGCGAGGGAGTTATTATTTTTATTATTATTGCTATTATTATGCCTATTGAGAGTTGAAATGATGATACTGAAAATAAAATCAGAGCAGTGTTGCTGGAGATTTCTCTTTGGGTTGTCTGTCCTTCTGTTGAGAAATAAAGAACTTTTTTTTTTTTTACTTTTTTTGGTGTTTTTTCATTTGCATTTATTTAGCAGGAGCAATCTTTTTCAACCTATTCACACCTGCATTAATCATGAGAAAAGTTTAACAGGATCTGTATCAAAAATATTAGAAATATCTTGATATCACAATTATTTTCTAGATACATTTTCATTTAGCTGGTGGTTATACATCAGGTTTGACAGGAACAAATGGAGAAAACTTAAGAAGCTATGACCTCATCCAATATTTGTTTTTTTTAGCTATGTAAATGTAAATGCTATTACAAAGTTCTCCTGGGCTTAAAAACTAGTAGGCTTTGAAGTTAAAATATTCTATGTTGATAGAAATACAAATACAATATCCTTCTTCTCATTGAATATAAAATTTTAATAAAATTTCACTTGTTCTCTAGAAAGAAAAAAAAAGAAGACTTTTAATCTAAATGTTCATATAGTGGTTCTTCTGCTAATGTTTATGTGTTTTCCTTCATAGGGATGGTCCTGACCATAATTCACCTCAGCTGGGAGTTTTCAGTGGGAACACAGCTCTGGAAACAGCATATAGTTCCTCCAACCAAGTCCTCATTAAATTTCACAGTGATTTTTCAACTGGAGGATTCTTTGTTCTCAATTTTCATGGTCAGTTTGCATTATATCAAAATATAATTATCTCAATTCAGAATTAAAAAATTTCTTAACTTTGTGATTTACTGGATGATCTAAAATAAATTTACCAGAATTCCTGACTTTGCCGCTTATTAAAATGTCAGTACAAGTTACTTTTAAAGCAGTATATTAAAAATATCTTTAGAAAATATCTTTAAAGCAGTATATTAAAATTATCTAGAACATCTTATCCTTGAATAAACTACATTCTCTTTAATATTCATCATTACTATCTAATACCAACTGATCAGTCCTAGGGGTAATGGTCAGAAGGGTGGATTGGATGGTTGGGCACCTGTTTTAAGTCTGATACCTAGCAAAGGACTTTATTCAAAGGAATATGCAAGCAATGGTTTTACTAATAAGGATTAGATGTGTACATTTGTGTAAATATAGTAGGAATGCCCTACATGTATCTGTGTATGTGGGAAAATATATGCTTTCTCCTCCCTCTCCTTTGGAATTCTCCATGGATTTAAGCTTGTCTTTTCTCCTTGTACAACTGCTTTAAAATGTTGGACTGTATGGGCTCATGTGGAACACAAGGGATTCCCAGTGTAGTTTACTTTGTGTTTCTTTAACTCCTCGAAGTTGACAGGTGGATAAGACTATAAGGTTACCAGGATAGATTGTTTTTTGGTTATCCTTCTTTATGGAAGGGACAGCTTTTTATGTTATGTACTCTCTAATTGCGATCTGGTGTATCTATTTCAAATTCGTTTTCCAGAAATGATTTCCTCAACTATCATAGGCATTCTAGATTAATTTGTAGACGTAAAATCTGCTAAATACTCCAACAGCATATTTATAGACATGCCAGTTATTGTACTGGTTACGATCCTTATGAGACTGTTCAGTTTGCTAAAACATTTGAAAAATGAAGAGTGGAGAGGTGTTTTTGTTTAAAAGAATTGATAAAAAATCATTACCAGGTGCTACAAAGGCACCCATATGAAATCAAACCCTTGAAGCTGCACAGAACTTCTCATTAGCTTTGCAACTCCACCCAATACTACAATGGATTTATATTGATAATAAATGTGTTAATATTGTAGAGATAATATGTAGTATTATGAGAAAGGTTGTGGATGTAACTGATACATTTAACTTCACAATATTGAAACAGAGAGGCTACGGGTTTTGGTGTAGCTATGATACTTTGGCAAGTGTGAATGAGAAATGAATTTTCTGAAAATCAATCTTAACACGTCAGTACTTAATACTGTTTTCACTTAACTTTGCAGCTTATCAACTGAAGAAGTGCCAGCCACCACCTATAGTTCCCCATGCAGATTTGTTTACGGAAGATGATGACTTTGAAATAGGTGACAAAATAGTACTTTCTTTTTTTTTTCTGCTTCCACTTGAAATCTAATAATACTAAACTATTAGTATATCTGACCCTTCATCTGAGATATTGATATACTTTTGTTCGAACATTTTTTTCCATTTTAACTTTTTTAAGAGTTTTTGGTTTTTTGTCAATAACTTTTTCAGGAGATTTTGCCAAGTACAAATGCCATCCTGGTTTCACCCTTGTTGGACAAGATCTATTAACCTGCAAACTGAATTCACAGTTGCAGTTTGAAGGATCCTCCCCATCTTGTGAAGGTAAATATACACTTCCATAGACTGTAGTATATTATCATTATGCATCCTCCTTTATTCATATTCGTAATATTCATCACATTTGTGGCATTATGTTTTCATCAATGATTAAGTGGTGAAAAGATTCCAGATTTTCTTCCAATATCAAAAAGATGCAGATATTTTCAAGTGGTCCCTAAAATTTTAGCACAGGCATTCAATGTTTGACTTCCTCAGACCCTGGAGTTTTTTATCACATAAATACTTTAGAAGTAGTCTCATTTAACTACATAATTATTGAAATATTGCTTTTTAAAATTCAATAAGATGACTTAACATTTTTTCATATTAACCAAAGTCTTCTTTTCAGCCCAGAAGAACTTTAAAGATAGGTACTTAAATGAGCATTCAAATTAAGTAAGAAATTATTGTTATTAGTTTCACTCTCACAAAGTAGCATGCAAGGCCAATTCACATGAAAAAATATTCTAAAATATGTGTGAAAAATGTAGATAAAAGAAAACTAAAAATCTTTCAACTATTTGTATGTTGGTTATGATAAAAATATTTTAAATGTAAAGAAATGAGAAATTTAGTATGAGTAATAGTTAGGAGTGCTTTTATGCACAACTTGATCATATTTCTGAAAAACAAATGTATAACCAATTCAGACCTCCAAATTATGTTTTTCAAAATAAATGTTGGTTATTGTTCTTTAATTTAATTTGCTTTGCTTTGTTAAGTAGTGAATGGCAAAAAATTTGGAGAGGTTGAAAAATGATCAAGAAAGTATCTGTTGACTTATATTTTCATGGAGTTGTTTGATCGATGCTATATTAGCACTAAAATAATATAGTCAAAGTGTACTAATTTAATTAATTATTAATTTAAGCTGCTTTAAATTTTGAGTTAACAGGAATAGCAGTAATTTAACTCTTTTCCATTTCAATACGCTGGAGAATTCTTGTAGAAACTACAGAGATATGGGGAGGTTCTGATCTGTTAAGCACAGGAGATAGCTGTTATCCAATAATTCTTGCAGATGCTTGGGAAGCTCATGGCTTTCTGTGATTGTAGTAAAACATGTTATTTCTCTAAAGTCCTTTGAGACATTTTGGATGAATATCAGCAGCAGTGTGTTTTCCCTTACAGAGTTGACTGATTTTGTGATTTTCTTCCTTTCCCTAAATGTATTATTTCTCAATTTTCAAAACTATTTATTAAACTTTTAGAATCTTAGTATTTTCTGAGTTTTACGTTGTTCCTGCATGATTATTAAGCATGTTTAATATATATGTTTTCTGTGGTCTGCATTCATTGTATATAAATGGCACTGATACTTCTGAATCTCAGAATCATTGGGAAGCACTAAAGATTTAGGAAATCTTTTGGCTATGTCAATACCATTTTTTGCAAACATGTGACTCACTTTAGATATATAAAATATCAATAGATGAAAAAGTGTGTTTAATCCATTAATTTAATATTATTATTTAATATTTATGGTGTTGACTCTTGGATAAATAGGTGAATGCACTCTTAAGCTGTGCTGTGAGACCCTAACACAGTGTTTAGAGGGGAGAAATAGATAAGTATTTCTTAATTTTATTATAACTGCTAATTTTAAACTCATTTCAAACAGATCCCTTTAAGTAGGGGATTCTAATATATCCAGAGTTGAAGATATAAGCTAGAAAGGCATCTGCAGCTTGAGAGTAATAATGCAACATCCAGAGGGACTGACTAATCGAAAGAATATTTATCTCAAGATAGCAGAGCACAGCTTTCTGTGCAGGACTTAAGCACCTGTACTGAACATTCATCTAGTTGTGTCAGTGTGTGTTAAAGGATAACAAATGAAGTAAACCCATGAACCATGAGGACAGCATCTTCCTATTTTTTATGTATTTATTTAATTGTAATTGTACTGGAGGTTTGACTGATATAACTGATATTTTAATGCCAAGATATTACCATTAAATAATACCAAGATATTTTTTTCATTTTATGATATTGTCTCCCTTTTGAAGAGCTAAGAAGCCAATTAACCCTTAGAGACAAATATATGTAAATAAATGATGCTCTTTATGGAAGAAATATAATGCGTCTTAGGTAAAAATAATTTTAAAATTCCTCTGAGTCACTGAAAAAAAAGAAAAAGAAGAGAAAACATTTCATCTTAGCTATGCAAGTCATATCATTGTAAGAAACTTCTGTAGCTGAAATCAAAATTCAGGTGATTAATTCATTTTTTGTATATAAATGTGTGTGTGTGTGTATATGTATATGTGTGTATGTGTGTATATGTATATAAATCAGTCATTCTGTTATCTTCTACAATGTGTGTCTGTGTGTGTGTGTGTGTGTGTGTGTGTATATATATATAACATTCACTGGATACATGATCCTTATTCATGATCCTTGTTTTCTACATTGTGATCTTATACAAATTTTGTCCAGCTAGAGAGGCTATGTTCCTATAGTGATCAGTAGTTGACCACTTGCAATTTGCGTTTACATCCCTGCAGTATCTGCTGTTTTCCTGTGCTTACACTCTTCTGCTACAACATATTTTATATTTCCTTTTTACTATTAAGGAGAATATGGGAAATAAGAGTGTGTTTCATTTTAGGGTAACAAGTATGAGAATGTACTGTCATTAAATGTGTGAAACACTGTGTCTTTCACAGAAAAAGCTTTATGTGAGAGCTCCAAATATAATTTGACTGTAGACATTTCCATTTCAAGAGGCAATCCCTGAGTTAAAATTTTCAAAAAGTGGAAAATATATATTTTCCTCATTATTTCATATGCCATTATCCCATGGACTTTACCTCTCATAGGATACCTCCTTTAAACACTATTCGTGCCCCTCAGAATGGTTATAACTCTTGGTCTGCTGCATCCAATGCTGTCAGATGAAAGCAGAGAGAGCAAGAGAGAGATGCATCACAAGGCAAAATTGCTTTGCTGTGTTATGTGCTAACATCTTTCCCT